TAGTATGAGGCACGAGGGACAAGTACATGCGCGTATGGAAATCGGATCGAAATATTCTTCTGTGATGATATTAAATTTGTATTTTTCCAACTGAAAAGTACAAGAAAACAAATCTGATCCATAAGATCATTTTTTTTTTTTTTTATCATCATTACATCTGGATCAATCTGAACTGTCCATATTTCTAAACCATCTTTTTTATTCTAAAATGGTTTACATTACAGTTTCTAAAATTTCTAGATCATTTCTAACTATTTATTTCATCGTTTTCTGCGTAAACGTCTTTAATAATTATTCAACATAGATCTATCCGTCGCATAGAATATATTAATGGGGAAGCGTAAGTTATGAATATTTCACAAAACCCACATGGACTTCGACCTTACAACCACCCTCCTGTCACTTTATGTTATAAATAACATCCCCGGGATTATATTTTGAATTTGGGAGGCACTAAACATTTATACACCGCTTTAGTTGCTTCAATGGTCGAACATCATTTACTAGACGCATACTAATATTTATTAGCTAATATCTCGTATGTATTATATAAGTAACAAAATAATAAATGTTATTGAAATTAAAAATTATCAAATGGTTAGTACTCGTAAATTAATATATAAATAAATTAACAAATAGTTTATATGTAGAAATAAATAACAAACTCTATCACGACTAGTCGCGATTTTATTAACTTTGTAAATACCTGACAATGAATTTTTAATTCGATATCAGTGCTATACAAATATAATATCACACCAGGCTAAGCTTTTAAATATGTATTTATTTATTTATTTATATACATAAATTATTTGTTTATTTATTCATAAATTATTATTATAAGAATATTGATATGATTTGTATTTAGTACACAACTGATCTTAAGATCAAATATCAACATAAATGATAGCCTCATGGGTTTGAAAATCGATTTAAATTATAATCAATAGTTTATTATTATTTTTATTTTATTCATCGGAAAAATATATTTTACATTGGCAAATAAATAATACTGTATTGGTAGTATTATTTTGTAATTCATGCTAACATATTATTACCTCATATATTACCTCTCGCCCCTCAAAAGTTATTTGTAATTTAATTTATATATATATTATTTCTTTCACTATAAGAAAAAGCGATTTTTTTTTTACATCTGAACAAACTTTTATTGAGGCGTAGCTTGTACAATAATTGCCAATAATATAATAATATAACTGGAATAAATCCACTTAAAAATAGTATTTATCACTTTATACTTTATTTGTTTATTATATATTATATCAAAAATGTTATAATTCATTTTTAACGAGTAATAATTAATAATAACAATAATTCATCACAAAAATAAATTTTAATTGTTCTAATTTTATTTCTTCTAGAAAATAAATAATTATTATTGTTAGCTACATTTTTTTTTTCATTTTTTCATCTCTATATAATTTTAAATTATTATAATATCATTGATAATTTGTTCAATACTTATAAATTATTAATACCTATAATAAATGGTGTTTTATTTTTAAATTTTATTAAATTAAATTATATTTTACATTTCAATTCCAAATGTGAACACCACCTAGAATTACACATTAACATTTTAATAATATTTAAATGACATAAATAACGTATATGCCTATGCATAACTTAAAACAATCAGGGTTGATAATTATTTAATGGACTGTATCGTATTTAATTATAAAAATGTATTAAGTTTATTTATGTTTATGTTTGTTAAATGTGTTGTTACTATCTGGATAGAACCACTCGAATAATTAAATAAATTATAAAAATAATAATATGTTATCTTAGGTATTTCAATTACGTATTTCTCGGTCAGTGTTATTCGGTCATCGCAACTAACAGGTCATGTAGGGTGACGGATACTTGAATAAGTTGAATATCGTGGAAAAATGCATATTATAATTTTAAACGTTATAAACATTATTAACATATATGTTATATATTTGGGTTGGACAACTGGCTACCAGTATACTTTTTTTTATCTGATCCGTGCTACATTTTCAAATCACTTCGTAATATTATTTATTTATCAGTATTTAATTTTATGACGTTGATCGTAAAATGTAAATACTTTAAACCAGAGTAACATTATTCCATGTTTGTGTTTTCCCACATTTAGGCCTAAATTTAACCAGGTCAGACGTAAAAAAATAAATACAAAAAAATTTGACATAAATGTGTAGGTTCAATCATGTCTTCTGCAAAATCTAATTTTTAGTTTTTTACCCACAAATATTTTTTCAAAAAAAACGGACCAAATTTACCGTCCTGGGCCGGGTAAATTCAAACAGATTCGAGCTGTCCAGGAGACCACGCGGCTCGTACGAGGTTAAAACGCAATACGCATTCCAGAGACTAATTTTACATTTAACGAGGCATTCACTCACTATTGGTCGTCCGACGACCGACATACTGACAGCACTATTCCTTGTTCGAGGATTTATCATTCATGAATAAGTTTATTTAAAAAAAGAAAAAAAACGCAATGTTTAATAAATAAAAGTACCTATTGCGGTCCTACAAATAAAAATAAATTCAAAATCATCGTATAATAATGACATTGCTGTTCAATCGATTTACTTGAACCGAACAACAGAAATCGTATATCATCAAAGTTAAATAAGGCTGATGGGATATTTTTAAACGCTATTAAACCAACCATCACAATTAGATTACATTATATAAGAATATAAATCTGTTCGGGGGTAAATGATAATGTTTTCAAACTTTTCTCAGGTGCATCTTCTTGCATGTTTTGAATTCACATGAACATGCATTGTAGCTTGTAAAACACTTACAAGTTTGAGTGTTCGTTGATACCTTTTCTATCAATGAACATTTTTGTGGAATGACATAATAAGGTACATAATAAGATGTGTTGATAAATTTTATTTTCATAAATACAATATATAATGTACTATATATTTTATTTGATACACGATATATTTTATACACAAGTACACAAAACAAACAAAACTATAAGTACGCGTAATCTCCTTAATCGTTATTATAATATTATAAAACAAATTGTATTACAGACCAAATGTACACCAGAACCGATTTCTTAGAGACTATCTCCTTTAGATTAATACAAAAATTATTTTTGTTTACTCGTACGGTAATATGATAGCATAAGATAATTTGTGTTGACAATGAAAGATGTGAACACGCTTGTGCACCATACAACATAAGTATATTAAACATAATAAAATTACAGTTATTCATAATACTGATGGCCTAATTTTAGAGCGATTCTTGATTTTATTTTTTCACAGCCCTTAATTTAAATTTAATTAAATAAAACCGTTGACTAATTATTATATGGGTAAGCACAAGGTTACAAAAACATAATTAAATGGTAACATAAATATGACTAATTTAAAATAAAATACATTGTTTATTTAACTGTATGACTCACTAGAACATAGTTTTTTAAATCATACAATCATTCAATTCAACTCTTGATCGACAGTTTAATTTTCTAACTGATTAAGATCTATAGTTCAAATTCAATGTGATCATTTAACATAGGGTATGTATATTAGTATAAATTAGTATGTACAAAATAAAACATGAAACATATAAAGCCAAAAGTTAAAAACAAATAGTGAAATATATATAATTGTTATGCATAAATAAGTATCAAAAAAATAACAGATATTTTGGATATTATTGAGTTAACTGTAGGTATGACTATGTTTAACCATAATGTAATAAAACATAACATGATCTGTAGTGACATGTTAAGTGGGAATTGGAAAAATTAACTAAGAAAAATTTAGCATCCTAGTGAGTCTTACAAGATAAAATATATTTCTAAAAATAAACAATTTATATAGATATATAGATCTATGTTAACAAATGGTGATTCTGAAATATAACAATTTCTGAACCATAAATTTATATAACAATAATAAAAATTAAAAATATGAAAATAAGAAATATTTTAAAGCACTAGTCAAGGTTACATAATTATCATGACAGGATAAAATAATAAACATAAAATAATTTAACAAATAACATTTTGAATACATTTATCAATAGAATGATCAGAAATAAATAGAATTTCATAATAAAAATTGTTGATAATTTAGCAAATTCAATTATTTATTCAAATAGCATTAGAAAATATTATTCTGATCAATTTTTTTTTTTCTACTAATAGTACTTATAAATATAAAACCTAAAAATATGGTTGATTATTTCACTATACATGGATAGTTAAAATTATACAATATAAAGCTAAAGAGTGGCTTGAACATTCAAATATATTTATTTTTTATTAAATAATTAGATAATAATTTAATACGGTAAAAAAAAGCAAGGAATATTTATTAGAAATATTCATAAAAATAATCTTTTTTTTTTAAATTTCAGTAAATTATAAACACAATTTCAATCAAAATCAACAAATGGTATTTTAGAGATATATAGTTAATAATTAAAAATGTATTTAAATTACAAAAAATAATTATTATAATCTATGAAAAAAGTATAAATAAATACATTTTTTTTTATTTCAAAATATAAACTTATGTTTATTTTTCAGTAAATCAATAATATTGTAACTTAGATATTTTAATAAAATATCTATTTTCTAATAATAATTTTTGAAGAACTTAATTTGTTTCTTTATAAAATACATTCAAAATTACATTTACCATAAACTTACACATAAAAAGAATTCATTAATTTTACATAGTTTTTTAAAATACATAATTGTATTTTACTCTGACTTTGAAAGAAATAACCATCAAATTATGAAGATTGAAATAAATGAGATACTGAAAATAAATATACAAATATATAAAACAAAATAAAATAAAAAGAAAGCGAAGAAAGCAATTTTAAATAATTTAGGTAACAACAAAATATAATTAAGACAAAAAATTTGTATAAAAACAAAGTAATCAATAATAATTTTGATAATAAAATTAATAAGAAATAAATAAAGTAAATAAGTTTTCTCAAAAAAATTTAATTTTTAAGATTTCATGGTAGATCTTGAGTTTAAATTGTGAATAAAAATATTGAAAGTAGCTAATTATAAAGTAGTAGTTAAGAAAATAAAACAAAAATGAAAAGACCTGTAGTGTTTTTTGGAGTTCTTAATTATAAAAATCTATGGTAATTCTGTTGACATTAAATTGATAAGGATTTCAGCATAACAAGGTATCTCATTATTAACTGTTGCTTATTAGATTAGACTAAATAAAATAAATCAATTATCACATATATTTAAAATATTGATGGACATCTAGTCCAGTCTTTTTTTTGTTTGCATTCCCAATATTCATGTGTAAAATTGTAACAAGGTTTTTTTGTCCATTTACACACATCTCGTTTAAACCATAATGGTTTAACAGTGCTGTTTACATTTTCTTGGATATTATCATCATCATCTTCTTCTAAAAATTCAAAAATAATTAGAAATTATTCAAATTAAGAATTCTAATAAATAATAAATAACCAAAAAAAAAATTAAAAAAAAAAAGAACTTAAAAATAAATCTAAACAAAAACAGTACTACTATGACTTATCTAACATACAAGTATTTATAAGCAATACCGTTTTCGTTGACTTGATTAGAATCAGCAGTCCCAGTTTTACGATTTCTAACCCTTTGCATTTCCTCTAACCTTAATTTCTCAATATTTGCCTCATCCCAAAGACCAAACTCCATTAACCGTTGGTCTGATCGCAAACGTGAATCTGTTGGTGCTACACCTTCTTCCATTTCATTTAGTTGACTTGCTAACACGGTAAAATTGTAGTATTTTTCACTATCAGATCTATATTTATTAACAAAATGAACAATAAATAATAGAAATAATAAATTAATACGAAAATTATGTTTTTATTATTTTTTTTTTTTTACAGTACTAACGGAGGTGCTTGTCTTTGCCAAGCCATAATATAACTTCCAGTTTGACATGTCGGACTTTCAATAGGGCCCTCAAATTTAGTAACAGGAGCTATTTCGACTTTATTATCCCATGTCCCATTTACGACCCATTTAATTTCATCATCTTTATCCAAAACATATCCTTTAACCTGAAAAAAATGTAATATTACATTAAATATAATATGAAACTTTTTACAATTTTTCACATACTTTTCTTTGTTGATCCCTTGTAAAATAACTGTAAGGGATATAGCTTAGACGACATTTTGTGCCATCTTTATGATTAATTATTGTCATGTCACCAGTTTGATCGACCCATAGTTTTCCAACAATTATATTATGAACAGTAGTTGTTACTTTAGTCCAAGTATAATGATTACCTATAAAATATTAATTGAAAATTTAAAACTATAATGTACATGAATAAACTGATAATTAATTAAATTATAACCAACTAACCAGATGCTGGAAAATCAAGATGAGCTATACCATTAGGTATAGCTTGCAAATATTTCCCACGGAATTTTGAAGACATTGAAAATTCTTGCCAACAGGACCATTCCTTACCCAAACAGAACTGTGCTGAAATTGGAGGATGATGTGAGACCTAAAACAATTTTTTAATAATTAACATATTTATTATTTATTAAGTTATTATTTAAATCAAACAGTTAAGCTGCTATCAGTTTTTAATTGCCTGTTCATTAAATGCTTTCCAACCAAGGTCTGACATTCTATCACATTCATATGTTTCTCCCAACAATGGATTAAAAGGTTTACTTGTCCTATTAACAGTCGTGGAATAAGATGATATTGTAAATGCAGCAACATAAGCCATCTGCTCAAATGGATCCTTACATTGAGCAGCTGTATCTAATATATCTGAATATTCAAAATCCTCAGTAATTCTTTGTAACATAGATAATGGCTCAGAAAAATTAACCTAAAAATAAACAGTTAAACTAAAAGTAAAACCAAAAACTTAAACTAAAAAAATTTATTTATGTACCGGCATTGGTATTTTAGACAAATCTTTTCCAATACAATTTTTTAAAATGCTCCAAATGTGCAATGGATGATTTGGCTTGTCAGGCACTCTACATCTTCTTTTATCTCCTGGTTTCAACGGAAGTTTAGTCGCTTCTTCGAGCAATTTTTTCGCCTGTTCAGAAAGTTGTGGAAACATCCTACAAGATTTATTATTGTCATCCTGAAAATAATATCAACAACAGGTAATTACATATTATTATTATTTGATTATGTAGTGTTAACATACACGCTCAGTTTTTAAACCAGATGAACAAATTGCTGCTGTTAATATAGCAGAAGATTCGGCAGGATCATCAATATCACTACTAGATCCACCACTACAATCTAGTTCTTCATTCACAAGTTTTTCTAGGGTCTGAAATAAATAATTTTTTACTTTGTGAAATTTTTATATTCTACAAAATAATAGAAATAGAAAATACCTGTGTACTTGAAAGAGATTTATGTTGAATAATACTTGGAGATTGATGATTAACTAGATAACTATTTGTGGTTACATCAAAAGAATCACTACCTTGAGCGTCAAAAAATTCACAACTGTCTGAAGCATCATCATCATCATCATCAGTAGAATCCCCTAATAAAACCATATTAACATAAAAAAAAAATAATGTCAATTAACTATAATAGTTTGAAACATGAACAGTGAAAACAATTAATACTTATATCAAACAATATTTATTAATAATTACTAATTAGATAATTATGTTAGATAGTAAATATTAAATCATTATTTTAAGAGTAATATACAAAACGAATAATATAAAATTAAATGTAATTAATGTAAGTATAGTTTATATTAACAAAGCAAAAGAAAATGTACAACTACTTATATCAGAAAAAAAGTTTATAATATCATTCAAAAAGCTTTATAAAAGTATTTTATATTTTTATGGAAAACACTGATATCAATACTTAATATTATTCATAAATATTAATATCCATTATAAGGTTACTTATCATATCAAACATAATACAATATGACCTTTGAAACACTATTATTCAAAAATAAATAAACAGATAAATATAATAACAGTCTTATATGAACTTTAAAATTAAACTCTAAACAGTAAAATTTAATAGAAAAATTTAATATAAAATACATGTTTTTTTTATTTTTTTTATTAAAAGTACATTATTTTATTTCAATACAAAAAAAAAAAAACCAATTTTTTTTTTGATAAAAATTTATATACATATACGAAAAAAAATTGTTTCAATACATATTATAAATTGAATATATTGAAATATAACTTTTCATTTAAATTGTTTTGATAAAAAAAATGGAATCATCAATAAACTTTAAAATAAAATATTAAATTTGTGATTAATGTTTTTTATCTAATTATTTGTACAGTCAATTTTAACTATAATTATATCCCTCTCATATAAATGACACATCATAATAAATGATGCTATCACCATCCATCCTATGTATAATATATGAATTTTATCTTTTGAAGAACCAAAACTGTGAACTCAATAAAAAAAATAATTATGTAAGTAATTAAGATAATTTTATTTTTTAATTATTTATTATAAAATAACATTACTTTTGTAATTTAATACAATAAATATTGATAAACAAGTATCAAATCAAATAATATATAGTTTCATAAAAAAAATTGACCACAGAATTATTTAGTTTTTATATTACACAATCAAGAGTGATTAAAATTTATATTTTTAAAGCACAAAATATTGTTTATACTTATTTTACCAAAATGTAATTACCTTGTTTGTCATTATTAGCTACATGCTCCAAAACAGTCTGTTCCCTTGCAATTTGATCAACCATTTCTACTAACTGTATACGTTGTCGCCGTTCATTGTACAACATCTTTTGCCATTTATTACCTTGACTTTGAGCCAAATCTAAATACTCTGAGCAATTCTAAATAATATAATTAAATATGATTTTATAATATTATTCTTAAAATTTATTTTAAAAAAATAGAAATTGCCATTGATTTGGATATTCTATAATAAATTATTTAAAAAACTTTTATTTTTCTATTTGCGAAGTATACAACTCGCAAGAACAAAACCCTTATAAATTTTAAATAGCAAACCTACCAAAAAGTGCCCACATCTAATATACAAATTATTTCAGACTTTATTTTAACAACATATAATTGGACAAGCATAATTAATCATAATTTGTAAATACTTACAGTTACCATACCAACAGAAGCAATTCGAATTAAATTTGCACGTTCCATCCAAGCTTTTATTTTTGTAGACACATCAGGAGGTAAATCTATAGTTTCCAGATCTGTTAAACATCTTTGTAAAGCTTTGCTATGTTTTGATATAATTTCACTTTGTGAACGCAGTTCTGATAATTTTGTATTTAATGCAGACACCACAGATGAAACTTCTAAATTTGCACTCAATTCCTTTTCTTTGATTCTATCTAAAAATTTAAATTACATTAACAATTTCAATGAACTATTAATATAATAACAAAAACCATTATGAATATCATTAAATGATGACAGTGGAGTCAAGGACGGATCCAGGGGGGCCTAGGGGCACAGGTCTCCCCTAGATATATTATTTCTCAAATTTTTTTTATAATTCTACACATCGTGATATTACTATTTTTCAACTCGCATATAATATATATCTGATAATAAAATAAATTTATTACATTGATTACCTATGTCCTATACCTACCTACTATTATGACAGAATTTTTAAATTATGAATAAAATACCTATAAAAAAAATTGTAGAGCCCCCCCCCTCAGATCTTTACTCTGGATCCGTGCCTGAGTGGGGTGTAAGAAGACATGTTCAATGTAATAGAAGGTGAAATTGAGGGACTGAAACCAAACCAAAAGAAGCTAAAAAATATTTCTCAACCTAGAAAAAGATGCAAGGATGAATTCCTATTAAATTAATTAAGTAAAATTAAACTAGTTTGCCAAAAATCGTAAAAGATGAAAAATTAATTAAAATGTACAAAATGGGCAAAAAACACATTTACAGCACACTGATTAAACTGATTTATTAATCGCGAAGACAAAATGTTCACTAAATGCTATTAACTCATTGTTCGTTATAATTGGTATAATTTTTATAAGATTTCGACTACTTTTGAGCTATTTATTGATACTTCAAAATTGATTGTTTTCTAAACTTCTGTTCGTAAAATGACGATAAAATAATTTTGATTAGAAAAAAATCTTGAAACATAATGCTAAGTTCTTCCATACATATTACTGATTAATGAAAAAAAATGATGTATAATTTCAAAAATATGATATGTATGTTTGAACTTCCAATATTAAATGTTGACGAAAATAATTAAAAAAAGATATTTCATTTCTTTTACTCGAAATCGTTTTTTTTTTTTTTTTTTGAAAACAATGATAGATCGGTTTCAAGTATAGCAATATAATTCATCTGTCACTGTACTTCACACGACTGTTGAGTCTCACCTGACCAAGGAGTTTTGCTCTTTTTAAATGTACATCAAAACATTTAATATTGTACCATATGAATCGCTAAATGTTATACGAGGGGAGAACTTCCGACAATTTTTAAATTTTACAAAATAAAAAGTTAAGGAAAAAATCGTCTAGGTTACCAATAGCTGTATTATTTACATTTATACTAGTGCCAGTGTATTACAACTTAACTATGGAGTTTTAAAAAAAGAAAGTTAGAAAAATTATTAGTAATATAAAGTTATATTCCACTAGAAAAATTAAGAAATCCTCATCTTCGTTCATTCTTTGAAAAATACGTAAATAAAGATATACCATCTGTATCTACACTGAGAGAAACATATGTCAATGATTGCTACAAAGATACAATGAATGAGATAAGAAATCAAATACTTAATAAAAAAACATGGGTGTCTATAGATGAGACGACAGATATAGGATGATATGTTGCCAATGTGATAATTGGAACCTTAGTAACTGACGTACAAGGTAAAATTTTTTTACTTGTATTGAAAGTATTAGAAAAAGCAAGCCACACGACAATTAGTAAATTATTTGATAAAGCTCTTTTTTCTTTGTGGTCAAATGGAATTAAACAAGATGTTATTCTACATGTAACCGATGCAGCACCATATATGGTGAAAGCTGCAAAATCCATTCAAGCATTATATTCTAAAATAGTACATATAACCTGTCTCGCCCATAGTTTGCATCGAGTATGCGAGAAAATTCGTGAAAAATTTCCATAAATTGATGAACTTATTTCAAATATGAAAAAAGTTCTTAAAGGCACTAGCTCGTGTTGAATTGTTCCGAAGAGAAGCCCCAGAAACGACATTGCCTCCTTCTCCTATCATTACGCGTTGGGAAATCTGGTTAGAAGCCGCAATGTACTACTGTGAACATTTAAAAACGATTAAAAAAGTCATTAATTTATTAAATGCTGATGATGCACTAGCCATAGAAAAGTTAAAAAATTATGTTAGAAACAGATTTAGAATCAAATTTAGTTTTTATTTATACAAATTATCGATTTCTGGCTACAGCCAAGTTTAAAAATTTAGGGAACTTTTTTAACTAATGCAATCAAAACTGTGAAGAATATAGAAAATAAATTAAATACAGTAAAATGTTCCAAAGGCATTACATTTTAAAAAAAATTTGAACAAATTATTGAAAAGAATCTGGGCTTTAAAACACTATCCAAAATTGCAAAAATTATGCTGGGAGCAGAAATGACAATAAATAATTTACCTGAAGATTTTTCTTGTGATGATTTACAATAATTTAAATACGCACCAATTTCTTCGGTTGACGTGAAGCGGAGCTTTTCGGTGTATAAAAATATGTTGGCAGATAACAGGCGGTCGTCTACATTTGAGAATTTATCAAAATCGTTGATTGTAAATTGTAATGCAAATTGTTTGTAATCTTTTGTAATATATGTTTAAACATTACAAATGTTTAAAAATGTATATTAATTAATAAAATAATGTTTTAATTACCAGTCAAAAATAAAAATAAAAATTATTAATAATTAAATAAAAATCATGAGTAGTATCATAATCCATAAATCATAACTAATCATGTTTTTTTCCTCATATTAACAGATTTAAAAAAAATAAGGGCATATTTAAGCGCATATATCAGGATTTTAAGCACATAAGTGCATACATATTTCGGTTGTTTTTAGTGCATAAACTTCCGGGCCCTATTCATAAGCTATCAATTGTTTTCGTTATAATATTTAATTTTGTTAATACAATTGCAGTTGTGTGTCGACTATCGATTTATGATTGCTTAAAGTGACACTTTAATTGTCATATTATCACTTATATATTTGCTATACTAATATTGATCTAGTATATACATATCTTGAAAGATTTCAGTTTCACCAGAAGGTGGTCAACTTAGTCTCAATCAGCATTATGGAAATCATGGTCAACATTTAAGTCGGATCCAGTTACAGTAAAATCCGGTCTCAGGCAGGGTGATTCCATCTCAATAAACTTAAGACAGAATATATGATAATAGGAAGAAATTGGATAGATTACGCATTGAAGATAGATCATTTTAAATTCTTTTAATTCTTTCAAATATCTTGGATCAACTGTGACTGAAAAAAAATGACATCACAAAAGAAGTAGACGCGAAAATGCAAGCTGGAATCAAGATTTATTATGGACTTTTGAAACTATTAAGTTCAAGGTCATTATCAAGAGAGATAAATTAACGTTTGTATATCAGACTAATATAACCAGTGATATTGTACGGATCGGAAACCTGGGCGTTAAGGAAATCAGATGAAAATAAATTCTTAACGCCAAAAAAAAAAAATATTACGAAAAATGTTCGGTTCAATGAAATATGACATCACAGGAAAGTGGAGAAGAAAGAACAGAGTTTCAAGAAATTAAAACAACATAGTACAGACGAATAAGAGGAGATGGCTGCGCATTCAACTCGGAACCAGAACTCTCTACTAAGAATGGTGCTGGAACAGAATTCGGTTGGAAAAAGACCCTTGGGAAAACCAAAATTAAAGTGAGAAAATACAGTTGAGAGGGATGTAGAAGAATTAGGAGGCGGAGCAAACTGGAAGGATTTGACGAAGAATAGAGATGGATGGAGAATTGGTTGTGAAGCGCGATGTAAGTGGCCAAATAACCCCCCCTAAAAAAAAAAAAGGTTAAGTTACTATCACTATGCTTATACTCAAAGTGAATTAAATAAAACAATTATAAAATCAATTACTGATAAAGATGAACAAATGGTACAACATGACGTTAATAAAAACAATAATAATGTCAACATACTTTATACAAAATATTATATAAATTTGACAAATTTATGTAGAAACTAGACTTCTACCGCGGAATAACTATTTTAACATTAAATAAAAATGTATTGTTCTATTAAATCATTGTTTTTTACAACAAAAGTTTCTTTTCAGCATTAAACAATAGCTCTACCAATTATTTATAAGAATATACAAAATAAAATATTTTCGGAAAAAATGCAGAAATCCCCTATTAACATTTAGTGATTCATATATAGACTGAATGGTTTTACTAATTTTTTATAAAAAGTTAATTAACTTAAATAATATTAATTAAGTGCTTAAAATTACTAATAATCAATATTTTGCATATTTTAGCATTTTAATTAAATTTACCAGGATTTATTTGTACAACTTCACGAGCTTTAGCCAACTCTAAAGCAGTAACCCATCTTTGTCGTTCAACTTCACTGGTTGCACGGAGATGAAAAGTTTGAGCACCTCCATTCGATATAACAATTGTGCATGAATCTTCAGTGTGTATTGTAGCTCCATGCAAACTTATTGTTCCACGACATAATTGTGATATTTCAGATTCAGTTCTAAAACAAATGTTTAATTAAATATTAGTTAAATAAAATTAAATCAACATCTATTTTTCTACAATAAAATAATAATTGGTTAGTAATAAATCAAACATTTAAATTAACAGTGGATACAACCCAGTCAAACAACACAAATTAATTAGCTATTATAATGAACTACATAATAAACAATCAAGTCTAGATAACTTGAAACTCAATTACTCAAAGTTTATGCAAGCACTTAAAAAAATGTTAAACATATTTTGAATAACATAACAAAAAACACAAGTTAAATAAATGTTTATGCTTATTTTGTCTAAACTCTATATATATATATATATATATATATATAGTTTTAAACCAGTGGCGTAACTGGGGACTCGCAGACCCCGCGTTACGGGGGGCCCACGGTAATTTGGGGCCTTTGGTAAGAGAAAATTTAATTCCCGTGAAAAAAAAATTGAATAATTGTTTTTTTAAATTAAATTAGTGTTAATCTATAATAATATAATAATCTATTATTATTATTAAATATGTTCGTAATCGTACGTATAGTACGTATCTTATCAAGAGGAAATACCTACAATAAGTAATAACAATGTCAACGATAAGGCTTACTCTATGTAACCAACCTGCCCTGGGGAATCATAAGGACACTAAAATATCCTTATGAGATTCAAAATTGTATTATAATAAATAATTTTCTGGAAATAAAAAATGTAATATGAATTTTTCCGACTGTCTAGTATATTCTCGTCAGGGACCAGAACCGTAACCGAAAAGAACCGGTACTGGAACCGGTTAACCTTAAAAATTTAGAAACCGTAACTGAAACCGGAACCTTTATTTCCAAAAATGAAAAACCGTAACCATAACCTTAATTATAAAAGGGTTAGTTTAAGTCAGTTATTTAGACTAGTGAAACTATGGTAATGACTATTTTGTTTGTCCATTTGTCGGTTCAGAAAAATAAAAGTAAAATCTTTTTATGTTTTTATTATTTTGTGTTGTAAACTGTAATAGTGTAATATAATAAGTAAATTTGTAAATTTATTATTATTGTTATTTTTGTATGTTTATTAATATGTTACAATTAACAATGAGTATATTATCTATCTTGTCTATTAAGTATTAAATATAATTAATGTTTATACAAATTTGTAGCTACAACAATAGCCAGTATTAACTTTGATTCCTAATTAAAATTAAATTTTAAATTAAAGATATTTATTTCATCAAATCATAATATTTCACAATATTACAAAATATTTTACAAATTCTTACTATGAGTTGGAATAAAATAACTTAACCTAACTCAAAAAAATATAATAATAGGCTGATATAAAATATTGATTTAATATATTTATATTTTTTTTTTTTTTAACTATTCATAATACTTTCTATTTTCAAGAAATGAAACAATTACAATTTAAACAAGAATAAATAAATAATTTCATATTATTTTTTAATAAATCTCTAATAATTAAAATTGACCGGTTCTAGAACCCTTACTTTTTAAAAAGAAACCGAAACCCTTAAAAAATTAATTGAACAACCAAAACCGGAACCGGAACCGAAAAAACTTATAGTTTCCAGTCCCTGATTCTTGTATACTCGGACTTCCATGTTAAACCACTGAACAAAATAATCTTAACGAATTAAACAAAATATGACAATTTTTCGTACACGGTGCCTGCATAATATACTGATCAATACACACTCGTCTCTGCCATCCTTACGACACAATAACCAAAATGAAAGATTTTATTATTATTTATTTTGAATCGCCCTCTATCAGAATTTTTTTTTCATGCCATCGAAAACCGGCCAGTGAGCAATAGTATATATATAATAAATGGTAATATTAAATAAATATTGTTATTTTTTATCATATCATAACAAAATTGTAATTAAAATAAGTGATTTACCTATATCAGATTAATGTTTTTAAACTAATATACCTACCTAAACAATATTTAGGAGCCTGTTTTTTATTTTTACGGAGGACCCTCAATTTTTTGTTACGCTACTATTTTAAACTAACAGTAAATACTATTTTGTAAAAAAGTAAAATAAATAAACCAATATAAAATATTATCATATTCATATAACATCTATACAAAATGGTACTTTAGAAATCTAAAAACCTCATTTATGACTTCTATTGATTTATAAGTAAGAGAAGACTATTTTAGAGTTATATTAGAATATTAAAAAATATTTTGTAATTAATAATATTTTGACAAGAAAGTAAAACAAACTACTAGTGAAAGAAAAATATAAACTGATAATATATAATTAAAAACACTTTCTATGAAATGTTAAAATTATCATTGATTATATTATTTATTAGTTTATTGAATGTAACCATATAATTTATTTATTGAATATTATTAAAATATTATTAATAAGTAATTAACAATTATTTTGGTTCAATTTTAGTTGCACAGAGAGAAATTACTGATTTATTTTTCTAATTCATTGCATAACTAAATAATAAATAATTATACCTATTATAAAGTACTTTAATTGATATATATATATATATATATATATATATATTATTACATTTTTACGAAAAATATACTAAATATATATGGTTTTATTGAGTAATTAAACTTGCCAAATGCCAAGATAAGATATAATATTTTTCTAAATAAAAACAATGAAAATTTAATAAAATATGATGTAATACACCTCAAGTAAAAAAAAAAAAAATCTTTCAATATTAATAAATTGTATTACTTAATTATTAAAATAGGAACAATAGGTCTAATAGTAGTACTATAGACTTACTACAATTACTACTTATAAAACTAAAATAATATATTCACAACTATATAATGTACATAAAATATTTGTCCTTACCTTTATTATTATTTGTACATTATTTGTTATATAAGATAAAGAATTGGAATATTTGTCATTTACATTGAAAAAGATAACTAGATTAAAAGAACTACAAGTTTACACCAAATCAAAACAAAAATCACAATCTTATATAAATAACAAATATAAATCATATAAAATTTAATTTTAAATAAGCAAATAATAATCTTAAATGAAGGCCATCAGAATCCAGACCAATAGATTTTTTTTTTATTTAATTTAATGAAAACTAATTTCCATGTATACTGTTTATATGTCAGTTGACCTGTACATCACCTTATTTATGATAATTATAGTATGGATTTTAAAGAAATAAAATACTAAAGAAAATTACTAAAAAAAAAAAGTAATAAAACAATATAACTATTCCAAATAAGTTTAAAAAAAGCATTAAAAATGGGTTTTAAAAAAAATTAAATTAAATTATTTTCGTCATTTTGTATATGACTATATGGTGTTACAACGAAAACTAAACTGTAATTCTGAGTAGATAATTTTCAGAACAAAAGCATATTTTTATGTTTATTGCCATTTCTAGATAAATTAATCTATTATATACTATACTGCACATAGAAAATTTAACACAAAGAGAAAGGTTGTCAAAAAAAATGATTGAACAAGATTTGGTACACATAAAATAATTATTAAAATTTCAAATATGTTTATTAAGAATACATTTTGAAAAAATGTACTCGAAGGCAAAAATAAGTATCCAAAATATCCAAAATAGCATCAATATATAAAAAAACGCAAAGAAAGCAAAAAAAAACCAAAACCAAATGTTGTCCATTTTATTCTAAGTAGTATAAATCGAATTTGTAGCTGACATAGCTTCGTTTTAGATAAAAAAAAAAAAAAAAACAAATGCTTTCAAAATTTGTCCTCTAATATTAATTAATGAAACATTACTAATCAATAAAATTCATGAAACACATAATACCACAGATAAAGAGTATCGTTAAAAAAAAAAAAAAATTTGGGGAACAAATTTAAATCAAAAATACTTTACAGAAATATGCAAGTAGCATATTTTTGATTTTCTCTTTAAAAGAAGAATAATTGAGAATTCACTTTTACTCTGGTAAAAATTTAGTTGTTTTTATACTTTTAATTTCTAAATTATTCTGAAGATTATACCTACATAATATAATTTCAAAATTAGTATTAATATTATTTATTACTTCTGTAAGTGTATTCTATTATTTATTTAAATTCTCAGTTTTTAACAAAAAGAAAAATAATAAAATAATGTTTTTTTTTTCTAACTTCATAATTCAACTATTATTACAGTTTGTTATGTAGAAAAGTTTAAATTTTAAATAATCTATGTGTTATATTATATTATGTAATGTAATTTGGTTAAAGAAAACTTTACCATTTATATTAAAAATTAAAACAAAATAAATAACAAGTAAATAAAAAACAAATGTAAAACTATAAATTAGAGTAAAAGGTAATGTACTTAGTAATGACTTAATTTAAATATAGGTATACAAAATTGTTGAATAGATATAAATTGCCGATTCAGAAAAGATCTATATGTCTTGTATGAATACAAAATAACTACCTATTATACTATGATAACATTGCATAATTAATACATAATACAACTATAGAATATATTATAAAGGTTATCTGACATTTAAGGTAGATTCATTAGTATAAAATGAACAGTCTGTTAAAATCAATTTCTGAGAGTAAATCGTAATACTAAAAATATATCTTTTTAAATAAAATATTGTATTTGGTATTTTTTTAATAAAACATTTAATAATTTTACTATAAGAGTACATTTAAAAAAATTACTGTTATATACTGGTATTGGTGCCAATAAATATTTCCAGTAATCTTATTTACTATCATACGCAAATGTCACATTCAATGATAAAAATATGTTTAAGCTTACTTTTCATTTGCAAAATATCATTAGCACTTGATAATGGATTGGCATTAACACCACCAATGGGTTGGCTTGCTTGGCAACGATTCAGATGTAATATTGACTGCAGTAATTTTCCAGATGAATGTATCAGGTAAAGTAAAATTATCAAATATTTAACATATTATAAAAAATAAATATATTATAAACAATTATAACACTTTGAATACCTAGTGAAAAACTATTTATAACAACTGCTGATTTATTAGTAAGTGAAGGGTATGATAAATTTGGATACAACTATGTTGTAATTGATGACTGTTGGATGCAAACAAACCGAACAGCAGATGGAAAACTACAAGCTGATAAAAAACGATTTCCTAATGGAATTAAAGCTCTTGCTGATTATGTAAGTTTACCAAGTGTTACCATACAAATTAAAATTGTAATAGAATATTTATTTTTTGTCATTTTAGATTTTAATAGCATATATATTTTAAATTAAACAAAAATTTCATGAAATACTTAATTTAATAAATAAATATATCTATAAGAATAGTAGATTTAAGATTTTACAGAAAACAATGAATATATATTAACATTGGTTTGTTAACTAATTTCATGAAGTATATTTTAAAGATAAAATATTGTATTCATAAAGTAGTAAAGAGGTTGTTTCAGCAGTTTTCTTAAATGCAAAGTAAAACAGAACTGTACTTAATCACTAGACCTTTTTTTCTTTTGATTAAACAAATTGATGTACTCATATGTTTATGGTTTAAAAATGTAGGTTACCCTCAAGTTATTTTAAGTTGTAAATAAAAAATATATAATTTGGTTCAAATAAATATTATTTATAAAGGTTAAAACCTACCAAGTAGGTCATTAGCTTAATTTAAATTTTTTTATTTTAGATTAATCATAAAGGTATCATATATTAATTTGTTACATATTTTAGTAATACTACATAAATGCAAATAAGCTCAAATTAATTTATACTAATATATATATTATTATGTAATTGGTGATACATATAACTACATTCCATTATAATAAACTCTAATTTATAGATAAAAGGTCTGAAGTTAAACATAAGTAAAAATCAATTGTTTTCACAAATATTAGCATAGTATAAATATATTTTTTTTATTTAACACATTTGTTTATTTAACCACTTTCATTTAAAATAATTTTTTTAAATCAAATTATTTAATAATAAATAATAACATCCAATTATACATGAGAGCAATATATAACTAGATTTTATTTATACTGATTTACTTAACATACTTATTATAAAGGCCATATCTGTAGGGGAGTCCAGAGTGTCTGGACCCCCTCCCCAAAATGTCTTCAATATTTTACGAATGTTTAAAATATTTATTTATTTTTAATACCAACATAAATATTTTCAGTCAAAAATGACTTAAGCTCCAATTAATCATTGACGGCTTTTAATTTTATATCATATCATATGAAAATATGATATTAATTTTAGTAAAAGAAGATTGAATCTTTTTCTCTCTTATTTTTAACCAAATTTCAAAAGTTAAAATCTAAATTCAATAAAATTACAATATACATGTTTTAGACCCCTTCAGAAAAAAACTTCTAGATACTTGCTTATTATTAATGGTTAACATTTTAAAAATAAATTATAAAACCACATTATAGCTATGAAAGAACATTATAAGATATAAAACACTTAACTACTAAAATCTATTTCAAATGTATATTTTATAAATTAATATAAAACAAATAATTCAATGAATAATTTTTATAATTTTCAACAAAAAAATGTTTGTTCTAAACAAAAACAATTTTTTAGGTTCATTCAAAAGGGTTAAAATTTGGAATTTATGAAAGTGTTGGATCAAAATCTTGCGAAGGATATGCTGGTATTGCAGGTCATGAACAAATTGATGCTCAAACATTTGCAGAATGGGAAGTTGATTATGTAAAATTAGATGGCTGTTACACGGATGAACAAAATATGAATAAAAGTAATTAATTATGAAAATCAAAATTAACTCATGTTTATATTAACCTTTAATAGGTTTCCCACAGTTTGGAAAATATTTAAATGAAACTGGGAGACCTATGGTTTATTCTTGTTGTTGGCCATTTTATCAAGAACGTAAAGGAATAAATGTAAGTTCAAATATAATTTAAATATAAATATAAATATTTATGTTATAAACATAAATGTTCAAACATGAATATTTAGTTTATTAGTTACTAATTTATTTATTAAATCACTATATTTTAATAAAAATAGGTTAATTATACACTAGTTGCCCAATCATGTAATTTATGGAGAAACTATGGAGATATTCAAGAATCTTATGATTCTTTAGTTGATGTATTTGATCATTTTGCACTGAAACAAGATATTTGGGCAAAATATGCAGGCCCAGGACATTGGAATGATCCAGATATGGTTAGATGTCAATATTGATTCTATATTTCATGATGTTTTTAACGAACGTTTTTAAATAAATATCTTGAGCAATCACAAATGTTAATACTGTACTTATTTTATTTTTAAGTTGTTGATAGGGAACTTTGCATTAAGTTATGAGCAAAGCAAAACACAAATGGCTCTATGGTCTATATTAGCTGCACCTTTATTTATGTCTAACAAATTGTCTACTATAAAACCAGAATACAAAAAAATATTACAGAACAAAGAAGTAATTAGAGTAAATCAAGATAAGCTTGGCATACAAGGCAAAAGGATTTATGAGGTAAATTTTTTTAATAATTTATAATTTTTTGTTTCTTTACTTCTTTATTGGCTATTATAGGCTCCATTACAGCTACAGCCATTTGCTTCCACCCACCTCTATTTTGAGCAAGTTCCCCTCCCTTGTACACTTCCAACCTTGATACATATTTTGTAATCCTATCTTTCCACCTCTGTCAGAACCATATTTTTGGTTTTCTTGTGTCCTGTTTTCATTTTGTGGCCAACCCAATAGAGCCATCAGATTTCTACACATGTAAATCCCATTCCAGTCTACTACTTTAAAACACCAATTATGTTTGTTTCACTATATAGTTCCTCTAATTCTTGGTTTTTTTTAATTCATGTTCCTCTTGAACATCTCTTTTTAATCCAAATATTCTTCTAACGTCCTTTAATTCAAAATAAGCTGGTTTTTTTTCATCTGTTTTTGTTGCTGTCCACGCTCTATAGGCTAATAATGCTACTGATCTCACCAGGACTTTGTACAGTATAATTTTTGTATTCCATGACAGCATCTTTACCTAGATCAAGAGTACTAATTTAAAGTAGCACTTATTTGCTACTACCAATTTTTGTCTAATTTTTTCTTGGCTGTCAGTGTTTTCAAAGACATTTATCCTTAAATATTTGAAGATTGCCACCCTTTTAAAATTATAATTTTTCACTTCCAAGTATCTTTTTTCACGATTGTTTCCTAACTATCATGTACTTTTTCTTTCTTTTATTTACTATTAATCTAAATTTTCTGCTTTCTTCAATAAATTTGCAAGTAATTCTGTAATAGTTTTAGTAAACTCTTCCCTTCTATATTTTACTTAGCATTTCGACCCATGTGTACATGCTTAATCGTTCCTGTAATCTTGACAAAGTCCCATCCTCCATTTTCATTATTGTATACCTATATTAAAAACTTCTTACCTCATTTGCTTTTTTAAAGAGTACTGTTGTGTTTATTTTCTATTTTTCTCTCTATCTTGAAATTTTTCTTTTCCCCATAATCTTTTTTTTCATGTTGATTCATGTATTATTTTTAAACGTGTTTTATCTCTTTCCGCAACAGCTTTGTCACAATATTTATTAAACCATAATTTCTTTTTTATTTTTTGTTCATATTCTAAAACTTCTGCTGATTTTTTAATTCCAATTTCCATTTTTTTCCAATCATATTCATTTATATTGGTATCATGATCTAAACCATCTAAATACTCATTCTTTTTTGATTTCTACTTATTTTTTGTAATATTTGACCTGATTTCTTTATTAATTTTATTCTTTTTAATATTATTATTAAAATTATTTTTAATTAAAAACCCTCTTTTATATTTTTCTCCTTCACTTTAGAAGATTTAATTTATCTGATTCTTTTCATCTGAATTTTAAAACAAACAACAGTAATATCCAATATCGCTTATGATACAAAAACATTTGTCATCAAAATTCAAGTATGATACATCAAGCGTATGTTTCAGGTTTTAATAAGTATATATGTAAACTCTATTGTCCAAGGTATTGTTTGTTTCAAAAAAAAAAAAATATTTAATAATAATAATAATAATAATTTGGAATTTATAAATAAAAATTATTAATAAAATTTTCTTCAAATAAATATTTTAAATTTATAATAATTTCTATGTACTAATTTTCAATACAGACAATAGATTATATTAATTAAAAACCTTACTACACTTTTCTTCAGGATCAAGGAATTGAAGTATGGATGAGACCGATAGAACCAACAAAAGCTGAATACTATTCCTTTGCAATTGCTTTTGTTAGTCGACGAACAATTGGAACACCATTCTTATATACTACTACATTAAATAAATTACAAATGAAAAACCCATTCGGTTACAAAATTAAGGTATATTGATACACATTAGTAATTTTTCATGTTCTCAATAACAGAAGCAATACCAGGAATTATAACTTTTATTGTAACTATCAGGGAAAAAACTAAAATATTTACATGTATCTGGAAAACAAAAAATATTTAATCCAAAATAATTTTATTTTTTTTGTTTAATAAGGATTTATTTGATGTTAATTCTAATATACAAGTTTTAAAGTCAAATTCAACACTTAAAGCAATAATTAATCCATCAGGTAAATAATAACATTTATTTATAATAGTTATATAAATAAATATATCATATAATCAACAAAAAAAATTTTCAGGTGTTATTTTACTTCGAGCTGATATTATTACACAACATGAGGACATTGAAAAACATCTGAATGAATTCTACATAACCAGTGTATGAATATTAGTTGAACACTATACACAAAAATATAATTTAAACAGTATAATATAGTACGATTTTAAAAATTGTAAAAATAAAATAGGTAAGGTAGGGAAATATTAAAGTAAACAAATATCTAAAACCTATAATTGATTATTTTATTTCAGAAAGTAATAGCAATAAATTAAGAATAAAATAACAGAATTCAAAATGGAAATAATTAATATTTGATAACTTCAAATTATTATAATATAAAATATTTTACAAAGACTAATATTATGTTTTAGTTTTCTCGCTGATTAAAAAAAGCAATTATCAGAAATATCCATGGTTTTCTCTGAATTAACTATTCATAATATTGTTGTTTATATATATGATATATTTTTATGTAAATTATTCTTAATATAAATCAAAATATAATCTAAATTTAACTCTACAGTAATCTTAAGTTATTGGTTTAAAAAAGTCTTTATTATAGTATTATATTAAATTATACATTTTTGCCTAAACTATATGCAATATGTTTTTTATAATTTTACTATATAGGATTAAAATTTTAAAATGATATACTTTTTACTATTCATTAAATACAAATTAAATATAGAACAATATCCAATTGTTGTTGTAATTCTTCAATAACTAATTTATAATGCATTATTTAAACTTTATAAATGACATTATGATTTACAAAGAAACTACAATAATTCAAAATAAAAAACAAAAATTATAATGATACTAAAAATATTATTGAAACATGTTATTCAAATGAAATAAGTATAGTTCATATTGTATTTAAAATATTTTATAATTATTCAACCACACCATAGAGTTAGGCATAATTTGAATAATTATTGAAATAAAATAGTATTATTTATTAATTTATTCATAATTTTAATTTTTACGGTTATTCATTATTTTAAACAATTTACTCATTAATTAATTATTTTTAATTCATTATTCTACATAATATTTGACCAAAACATTTTGTATACAACTTAAAGTATTAAATTATTAAAATTGATATGCTCCGTATTTTCAACATATTACTTGGAAATTAAACCAGTAATGTTATTTTTATAATTATAAATAAAGACTAATATGACTTAATAAATATCTAAGTACGTCAATAGTTCATTATAACTTTTTTAATATTTCTATTTGTGCATAGAATTAATTATAAAGTTATAGATGATTTAAGTATTTCAACTACGAGTGACAGTGATAGTACTATTTATTATTATTGTTATTACTATCATGATTGACATGGTCACTGTTAGTATTATTATCGTTATTGTTATTAATATAATATTTATATTATCATTTTATTATACAAAAATCCAACATTATTTATTATTTAACAATTTAGAGTTAATATTTTTTTTTATTCAAACTAAAAATATTTAGAATAAAATAATCAGTTATTCATTATTTTATTTTATACTTATTATTTTGATTTATATATACTTAACTCTGCTACACCAATGCTTGAAAATGAAAAAATTGTTTTTACTTCACAATTTGTTGATGTTCAAACAAAACATAATAATATAATCAAAATTGTTTTTTTTTTCTAAAATTTAAATATATGGAGAAAAAACATAAAATAAATAAATATATATATACCTATGTACTTACCTACTTATAATAATACAAATTATATTTGAAATGTAATAACTACATAAGTTTAAAAAAAATTAAATTTAGTAATAATTACTAAATTTTAACTAATAATTAGTTATAACTAAAAGTAGTTTTGAAATAAGATATTATTTTTAACTGTTCCGTTGTACTAAAAACTATTATTATCCCTCATTAAGACAATATAAATAAATAAAAATGGAAGTTTAAGAAATCAAGAAGAATTAAAACTTCAACTCTAAAATTCATCCTAAACTTTCTACATTTTATACAAATGTCAACCAGTATTTAAACACTTTATAAATAAGAAATAGTAAATAGTACCTAATGAACATAAAGAATGTAGTAATAGCTGCTCTTAACACTGTTTTAGACCTATCATACACTTACACATAATATAAAGTACCAATGAATAATATTAATAGATTATCATTGTACAAGTAGAATTTTATCAATTATTCATACATTAACTTTGAAGTAAAATTAGTTATTACTCCAGCTTTTCCTTTATATTGACTATTATTGTTCATTTATAGTAGAGATATTAAATCAGTTGAATATAATTTCAATACTACAATTCATTTCTATAGAAAACTTAAGTTAAGTACTAATTATAAACCAAAGTATACAACAATATTTTACAAACATAAGTTTCAAACTAAATTATAGAGTAAAATAATATATACATTTTCCATTATTCATGAGTTTCAAGACCAATAAAATAAAAATATATATTGTAGCTATTTTTTGTTTTAAAACAAACAACACTATGTGTATTTTCATTTAGGCTACCAATTTTTGTTTAGGATTGCATTTCAATTATTTGATATCTATTAACGAAAAACAGAACTTTAAAATAGATCATTCAATGTAATTTGTTGATAATATAATATCAAGTATTTATATCCAAGTATGATAAATTCAATTTAAATGATTATGAAAAGTTTCATTATGAAAAGAAAACGAATCAATTAAACGATTATAACAAAAAATCTTAGATAGACAATGTTTTTAAATAATGACTGATTTAAACCCTTGCTTCTTGAACTTTTTTGTCATAGGACCCCTTAATTTAATGTAAGACTTTCAAGGCTCCCTTAATCAAAATCATTAAATATTTTTTTCTTTATTATATATTAAAATAACATGCACTATTTTACACAGTTTAACTATGAATACGTATATTAAATAAATATTTTTTAATATAATTTGGAAAAAACTTTATATAGTATTAAACTTCATACATGTATATATATAAATAAATTAAGGCCTAAATAAAATAGTTAAAAAAAATGGATAAAATAAATATTTCATGGCTCCAGTTTGAAAAACACTGATTTAAATAATCAAAGTACTTATAGTATAGACATGACAGTTGATCGACCATACGCATATTTGATTGGTTAAAATGATAAACTGCTGGTTACGATCCGGATATTACCTGTAGTAAGACAGTACTCCATTGGACAGGACGAACCATCGTTTTTGATAACCTTTGATGTAGTTGGTCCACTTGAACAGCCACCCTTTCATGCCCTCGTCATCCTGCGCAGGCGGCGGAGCCGGAATTTTCACGTCTGGTACAGCCATCTCGACGAGATTCGCTAGGCACTAACAACGGATGCGACAACGACAAAAATTTCCACGACAACCGTCCGACATTTCTCGAGTTTGTTCAACGACCACTGCAACTGCTGATCATGATGTGACTTTCCGTCGACACTACGAGTCTGCGGTAGACACTAGACACAAGTAAACGAAAAAGGAAAGGCTCGACCAATGTTGTTATTATTATTACTATTATTATTATTATTGTTATTATTATCTGGTTGTATTAATACGTTCGATTTAGTAATGTTTTTATTTTTTCTTTCAGAGCGACCGATAGATAATTATTACTGTTAACCCCTCACTCCCTACCGATACTGTAAACCGTTCACGATAACGGACGATCAGCTGACGCAGCGACGAATGTTTCTCGACGACGACACTCGGAATCCAGTGGCGGCGTCAGTGCGGCCAACGCTTGTCCGTCATCTGAGAGGAAAAAATGTAACGTGAAGTCGTAGAACATGTTCTATTTTGAAGTTATGGTACGTACACAACAACACGTAAAGTGGTTAAAGCTTTGTGTTTTGTGGAAATACATGATAAAACGTAATTGATTATTCGTGTTAATTTCACTCGATTAAAAAATGAAAACTAATTTGATCAACGTCCCGCTAATATGGTCAAAAATAAATGGTTTTTGTGCCACGTTACAATGATGCCTATGTGATATCTTAACACGATTAATTTTTAAATCTTACGTTAACGAAATTAAGTAGTTTTTCATGAGTGTTCGTTCAATCATTGTATAAATTAAGGGGATTGCAAGCGGTCGGCTTTGAAGGGGTTCAGTATAGGCAATAATTTTAGTGCATGCATTTAAGCCGTACATGTGCATGAGTAATAGCATTGATTTTCTAGTAAATTACAAAATCAATGGTAATAGTGATCATTAGTGTTAGTGCACCTCATCTTCTTCCTCTTTTTCATGGCTTGGTCGCTTCATTATCGCAATACTGTATAAGTAAAATAATAATGTTTATCTGTATTCTGTAATCACGTTATTGTCAGATACAGTCGATCAGTACACAAAAGGATATTTCAAACTTCAACCGAAAAAAAAAAAGTCGTCATTGGACTTCGTACGTATCCGTTATCTTATTGGAAGCAAATACCGTGATTATATTGCCAATTTTAGAGTGTGAAATAGCTATACGCCTAACAAAAATGAAGGTACTTCCAGCCATCTGATTAAAATAATAAAAATAGGCTTGTATTTATAAACAAGTTAATTTTTATTAGTCGGAGTATTTTTAAATTTTATTAAGATATTCATACAAAATAAAACTATAACAATTTTTATTTATTTGTCTATATTCAATTGTAATTAATTAAACTGTTCTGATTATTGAAAATATTTATTTTTGCAAAAATTGATTGACTTTATTTTAACATTGGTTGCTGAGTAATGCTGTTTATGAATCCTATTAAATAATGTAGGTAATAGATATTAAATTATAAGCTGTTTAATATTTATTTTATTAATTCAAATTTACTTTTGTCGCTACTAAGTTAAGGTTATGTGTGTAGGTACGTGCAGTACAGCGTTTGTGTTTTGATAGACTGTATGATTATTCAAATTCATTATTTTCAGTAATATTTTCATCCAGGAGCAAAACATCAATAATTGATAAAATAGCTACTCCTGACATATCAACTACCTCATCACTGTTATTATAGTAAACATTTTCTTGCATCAGATATTTCTACGACTTTGTTCACAAATATATTTAAATTGAATTTTCTTGAAAAATAATCTTTCTTATTGTTAACAGTATAAACTCTACAATAAAGCAAAATACACATAAAAATGAAAGTACAAATATATACAAAAATTACTTTTCGCAAAATTTGACCCATTGTTAGTGGTTGTATGTAAAATTTTATTGTTAATATCAAATTCTGTGTAAACAGCTTCAATTTTTTTAGCTAGGGCATCATATATGTGTTTCCCTATTAGTCATTCAATTACTAATAGGCAAGATACCAAAGAGTTATTAATCCAGTAACCAGTAATACTAATATAGGATCTGAAAATAAATTTAATTTAGTTATCTAGTTACACTATGATTATGAATTATGATTAATAATATGTATTTAAATTATTTATATTTTAATTAACAAATTAATTTAATGAATTTTCTATTATAAAATATTATAGTTATTATAGTTAAAAATAATATAATATGAACAAGTATTATGTTTAGATTATAATACCAATGAATACAAATTGTAAATAATTAATATTATTCACCTCTTAAATATAGACCAAAAATCAGCTATTGTAATATGATTTTCTAGACTCATATTTTTTTTTAATATTTTTTAAAATTTATCATGTGTGACTATCAAGTAATTTCATCAATGTAGGACAAATTATTACTTTTAGAGTACCCAGGGTATTTTTGCACTAAAAACTAAAAATTATCAGACTCTACCAATGAAAATGGCAAAAATTGATTCATTATCAATTTGTTAATCAATGTGTTCAAGTTCACTGAAAAAAAGTATTGATATTAATATTTTTATTTTCCATAAAACTTTGTATAAACACTTTTAATTCCTAAAATAAACTTTTTCACTCTATTGTTAATTTTTATTTCAATTAAATTGTATAGTAAATATACTACTTTACAGATGAGGAATATGAAATTATAATAATTATCTAGATAATTTATCTATATAAATTTATCTATATAAATCATCTAAATAATGCATAACACTGCATTATCCAAGGCATTATCATTATTTAGATAATAGAAAAAATTATTATTTTACTAATAATATATTTTGTAAAAATTCGCCTCTATTTTTTGTTATTAGATACAATAAAATGAAATAAAAACAATGCAGTGTAGTTTTGTTATTAATAAGCAAACAGAGAGTGTATGAGTAGATTTGTAAAATGTAAATTATGCATATTCTTAGAATATTAACTTAAAATTATTGCACTTTGTTTAATTGATATAGGTGTTATAATACATAAATTATACTTCCATAATAATTGTTTGTTTCAACCACATTCATGGAATTCTTTTATACCTACACCGCCTACATTCTCCATGGAAATAATTGATACCTACATAATTACATAGTGTGTCTGATGTCATATGTATAAAGTTTATATTCATTTTAGAATGTAATATAGTACAAAAGTATACTAAATATTAGGTATATTTTAAGACCAATGTTATTTATACATTATTTGGAATTTATATTAATTTAACGTAGTACAATTAGAAATCAATAGAAATGTATAATAATTATTGTTAACGCTTAAAATCCAAAATAAATTCAAAATGAATAAAAAAAAAAATAATGAAGCTTTCATAGCGTAACAATATATTATATAAATTGATAAAGAATAACACATAAATGCCACTAATATTATTTCTTTAAACATATTATAAAATATTGTATCAAAGAGCTTATATTTGTAGACTGCTGAGAACTAGGGGGGCCAAGCCGAGGGTTATCAAAATGCTTGTAACAAGTAGGTATACTTCTTGTTCCTCGACTCTTGAGAGTTCATTAATATTAAATTACTACTAATTTATTCAATATGCTATTGTATAATATATCTATTATGAATATAATTTATATTCGTTCCTACTGTTACATGGACATGCGCATTGTGCACTGTGCTTTACGGTCGATACATAAAATGCGGCATTTGAATATGTAACCTACATGATGTGGAATTATTATGAAAAGAGGTTGGGGAATAAAATAACTTAACTAGTAACTACGTAACTAGTTACGTAAGTGCTGAGAAATAACAGTGTAACCGGATCGTCCGATCGCGAATGTTGTCCGTTTATTAATAATTACTTCATGTGCGTATTTTATGTGTTTCACGTGAAATGACGCTTGACTTGAAAAAACTCACTCTATTAGTTTGCTTGATCGTGGCCATTATTTTAGGTGTCACAGGCGTATATAAATACGGACCAAGTAGCCTTGTGGAACAAGATGCCGCAGTCACCGAATCCGGACGATTTGCAGACCCTTCACTTAAATATGTTGCCGTGGTATGAGTATAGTTTATCAATTTATGATGATTTAAAAACCATATGTAACTATTAAAAGTGAAATAATCATAAGAACAAAAATCCAGTAATTGAAAATGAACGTTTACGTTGGGGGAGGGGTTATTTGCCGGTCTAATAATAGAAAATGTCCTGTTTAGTAATAAAATAATTTAATATAATTCGAAAAATATTGGCTATTTTTGTGTAAATGTGATGTTTTTACGAAAATATTTTTATAATCGCATTAAAGTTAACATTTATCACTATCCAAAAGAGCAAATATCAAATACAACAGTAAACATTACAATTTATGATTGAATAGTGTTTATTAAAAATTGTTATAAAGATCACGTCTGAGATGAGTCTGATAATATATTATTCATTATATTAAAATTTAGAAGTCAAACTACTTATGAAAATCATATTTACATCCTTTCTCTTAGAAAGTAAATATTGTTCTAACCCAATGGCATAGCGTGAAGTGTAGTCTGTAGTTTAAGCAATCACCAAATATTACCTAATCTAACCAATACCTCCATCTATTGTTCACCACAAAACGTTAATATATAAATATATGTATGAGTAAAATACAAATATTTTTTAAATTTATAATATTTTAAATTGTGATTAATATCTGTTTATATTTCATTTACTAAAAAAATTTGTTCATTGACTGTTATTGATGAATATTTATGTTTAATTTTAGATTTTAAGTGAAATGAAGAATGCATTGATTTGACCATAATGTGTTTTATTAATTTTTTTATTTTTTGTATATTTGTACACGATTTTGGCCATAATAATATCTACGATCATCAAAAGGTTTTTGGTAGGAAATGGTGACAAGTTAGTCCTTTTAGAGTAGTCATGTGTTTAATTTCTCAACAGTTTTACAAATAATTCAGAAAAACAGAAAAATAATTATAAAAACCTTCAACCAAGATAGGGATTCGAACTCGATACCGCTTAATATTTTGTCGCAAACTATAGCCATAAGCTGCCTAACGCACGTTTAAGGAAAAATTTCTTGTCAAACGTCTCTCGAACATTTGTCGAACATTTTGTCAAAGATTTTATTAATAACAACAAACGTTTGTTCATTATATGTTTTCCAACAGTCATGACTATGACTGATCTAAAACAAATCGCATGCTTCATTGGTGCTGCTGCATTTGTTATAATGAGTAAGAAAGCATATTTTTATAGAACTAATTGTTTGACTTGGAAGTCGGTAAATTATTTAACATTGTGAATAAAAAATACCATTCTCTGTGTATGGTGTCACGCTCAGAATGATTTTCTTATTAATTTAGATAAAAAAATTTATATTATTTCAATAAATAATACTACTTACATATAAAAGAATATTTATAAACACGATAATACCTCATTATCACCCTATAGTATGGAATACCATACAAAACGTTATTACATATTTAAAAATTAATATTTATATTGATTATTAAATTTTAATATAGTCTGTTGTCACGTATTGATACTTCATGATAATAATATCATATTCAAATACGAATATATATAATATATTTTTCAATAAATATTATCATTTATAACTTGTAATTACTTATAACTAAATTTATAATTATTTAAATACAGGTACATCGGTATACAAGTACAAACATTTCTGTTTAGAATATTGACAAATGGATAGGTTTAAAATCACGTCTACGTCAAAAATTCGTCCGACAGATATTTTTTAATTATTTGTTAGGTGTGGACGCAGACTAACTATAAAGGAAAAAATGTTTTCAAGTATTTTCATAATATTTCCTTTTTAGCCAATTAAATAAAAATTAAAATGCCATTTTGAAAAAATGTTAATTTTTAATACAAGATGACACCGTCTGAACACATACACATTTTGATTAATATAAATTAGAATAGCGGAATTGCCACTTTAGTTTATCAGTTACTCTGCACGTATATATAAATAAATACATACATACACAAACTTGTTTATCAATCGAGTGGTTGATACTTCCAAAGCATGTATTTGTTTTTTAAATTTTCAATAATCGAATAGTTAGAAAAATTACTATACACATAGCAGTTTATCTGATAATTTTAAATTTGTGAACAAATCAACAAACCTATCGAGTCTAAAAGCTTCGTAGTGACTTAAAAAGTTCCCAGACTACTTATATTAAGGGCCCCATACACGATCAGTTTAACTATGCAGTTTATCTGTGTAAATAGCCAAATATAAACTATCCAGTGGTGTGTAGACTACTTGAAGTTTTTTTCTCAGTTATATCCACAGTTCTTTGCATTTTCTAGTTCAGTATAATACGAAAATCGTTCGGTTATCGCAGTGTACTGTTCGTGTTTATAATAATGGGTAAAAGAAAAAAAGAAAATCAGCTGTGTGTTGTTTGATAGTTGCTTTTTTTTTATGTGATGTGTATGACACAAACTATTAGAAAGACGAGACAAGACTGTGTGAGCTGTGTAATTCCTTGAGCTAACTGCACAGTTTATGGGTACAAAGTAGAACTTATTACACAGGTCAAAAACCTGAGTAAAAATGAACCAAAACTTCACAGTTAAATTTATCGTATGTGGGACCCTTTAGAATTTTATAGGTATTTTATGATTTAAAGAAACTTTAAATAAAATGTATTTAAATTGCATTTGTATAATACAAAATTACAAGCATTCGAAATTTTCGAATTAAAATTAAATTTACCATATTAAGAAATTTGATTCTACTACTATATCAACCATCCTTAAAACTATGAACTCTTTCACATCCTTTTCAACATTTAATCATAATTGTTTTTTCGAAAGCAATGTTATAATGGCTTCAAGTTTAAAAAATTAATACGTCCGGCTCTGTATCCCATCCAACCGTGGAGTTTCACCCATTTTATATTTGTATCACATATAAGGCAAGCAATGTCTAATCCGATACAATTTTAGTAGAAAATACTTCATATCGAAAAAAATGCTTACACCACAGAATACAATTAATGTAATCATACTTATATTTTTTTATTTAAAAGAAGAAGATTTTTACAAGTCTCACTGTACTTTATTTTTAGAAACTGAACTTAAAGAAGCTATAAATAAATCTTAATAATTCCAAGTTTTGGTATTTATTAAAATACCAAAAACCTAATTATTAATGTTTGTGAATTAAAAAAATCCCCATTCGCTATGCAATGTGCATCATATTTGATCCAATTATGTTAATTATCAATTTATTGTGCATTATCTGTTCTATAATATTATGGCTGGCTTCTAGATAGTCAGTAGATAAGATAAGCAATAACAAATGTACATTCATGTAAAGCTGCGTCCACACGTAAAGAACATTCCTCAAAACAGTGTTTTACAACAAAGTTATAATATAACTTATATAGATGTTATAATATAAAATATTATATAATTTTTATAAAAATGTTATGTGCTAACATTTGTAAAAATATGTGTTGTATAGCAAAATTTGTTTTCCATTAATGACAAAAAATATAACAGAAAAATTAAATAGCATATATAATTAGATCCATTTCAAGTATAAATAATAAGACAATTTTAAGTATAAATAAGTATAAATAATTGTAATCGTATCTTGTTTACATTTTTTTACATACTTTATGACCAACTAAATTAATTAAATAATCGAAATTAGTACTTGGCATCCACAATTTTTTTTTTTTTTTAATTTTCGTCCCTACGGAGTGCATCGAATAAGGAAACATAACATCCTAAATCGTCTAAAAGTTTACTACTGCTATATTTTTTTCTATTAAGTAATAAAAGGTGAATTCAACATTTTCTCTTAGTTTTTTATTATTATTTAAGTGTAAAATCACATGTGCTGCTGTAATGTAATACGTATCAGTATATTGCTTCCTACGAACTTAGTAGTTAAAATGTACTTATTATGTTTACTACCTTTACTACACGCTGTAATAAAATAATGTACGCACAACAATCAAAACCACTAACTATGTAAAAGTAAAAACTTAATGTAAAACTGAATTGTAAAACAACTTGATAATATTAACAGGGAAAAAGCCACGCGCGAATTACAAAAGTAATAAGGAAAAAACTGAAAATTACAAAACAACACCATAATGATGTGCTAATCAACAAAAACAAGGGCAACATTTTGGTAAAAACAGTCAAATAAACAAAGAAGAAACTAACAATGACACGATTAAGCAATAAATAAAACACCCTTACATTTTAACATTTTGTAACAGTGTCGAACCAACTACGTGATCCGCTACACTGCTACTCCAATAAATATTATCACGGGTCTCATAATGTTGTCCAAAATTATATAAAACAATGTAACAAAATATTTCAATTTTATGTAGACGCATATGTTGGGTTAGGTTAGGCAGACCTTAAGTTCGGGGCATGCCCGAGAAAAATGAACTAACTATGTGAATAAGAAAGCAATCCCCCCCAATCAACTTTTATTACATTTATATGATACATAATAATAATTTATTCTATATACTAAATATGTTAATAAATATTTGATATGCACCTCAAAAAAGTGTATATAACTTATTTGTTAATAATTTCCATACTTCATTCTTCTTTGTAGAACTATAACAAGCAGAATCAAACGGAAAGAAAAATAATAATTATGGCACCGATGTTGTTGCATTTGCAAATTTTCTTCTACTGATCCAATTTACTGCTTTTTAGTACCTAACTTTTAAATGCATTGTGTGTAGGTACGAATAAAAATCGAAACATTTTAATTTTAATCAAATTTTTCACAATTTTCGACATACTTTCAATTTTGTTGCAATCTTGTTAATTTTACTCATTTATAAAAACTATTTTAGCTATTTTAGTTTATTTTAAGTACGTTCCGCTCACATCAACCGACGTAAAACGATGTTTTTCGAAGTATAAAAACTTACGGGCTCCAAACCGAAAAACATTGAATTTTGAAAATTTAAAAAAATTACTTACGTTTCAATACAACAACATTTTTAACTATATATTTTTTTATATTT